TTCAGAGATGAATTACAATAGATACCTGAGAAATAGAGATCATAGGAGGTTACTATGAACAACTCCATTCCACCACGCCAGAGGAAACTAAAAGAAATGGATGAATTCTTAGAATCATACAACCTCCCTAAACTGAATCATGAGGAAGTAGAAACCTGAACAAATTATAAGAAAATGCTCAAGAACTAAAGTCCAATGACCCCACCTCCCACCACCAGAAACCATAGCTGCCTCCACTTACAATCCACCATTTTGCCAGCAGAGAAAGGGTCCACAGCTAATGTCCAAAAGAACATGATGCAGCCAAATCTCCCCAGGTAGACTGGCCCAGGCTGAGAACTCTGGGGCCTTCTTGGAAAGGGACCAGGTAGATGCCACTCTCTGCCTGAAGGCAAAGCAGCCCGAAGCCACATAGAAATGGCCCTGCTCCACAACTGAACCTCATCAAACTGCCAAGCCGCCAATCCGTTCCAAACATATAGCTCCTATGCCACACTGCTGCATACATGGCTAGATGACTTCCAAATTTTATAGTACTATGAATGCAGTAGGGTCACAGAAAATCTGATTGGAAAATTGCATAAAAGATCACCAAGCTCAATAAACCTAAATAATAACACAGAAGGATCTCTGGGTAGAAAACTGGGGACACTAGTGGAGGGCAGGGCACAACGGTGATGGAACTAGTGGTGGAACATTTAATGCCTGAAATAACTGTATTATAAATAACTTGGTAAATCGTGGTGTTATAATAAACAATAAAAATAAATTTTTAAAAAACAGCAAAAGCCCAGGTTCAGGTGGATTCAGTAGTGAGTTCTACCAAACTTTAATAAAACCCTTACTGCAGCTCTGATAGAGAAGAGATCACCAAGTATGGGGTGCTTGGAGGATCCGCTCGGGATGGGAGATGTGTGCTGAAAGTAGACTACAGACCGAATGATGGACATTCAATACCTCTGTTGCAAACCACAATACCCATAAGGAGGGAAAGCAAGCAAAAGGGAATGCACGGCAACAGAGGCAGGGTGAGGTGGGGGTGATGGGAGAGATACCGGGATCATTGGTGGTAGAGAATGGGCACTGGTGGAGGGATGGGTTCTTGATCATTGTATGACTGAAACGTAAGCACGAAAGTTTGTAAGTCTGTAACTGTACCCCACAGTGATTCATTAATAAAAATTTAAAAATTTTAAAGAACACAAAAAAACCTTTAGTGCCTATACTCCTCAAGATCTTCCACGATACTGAAGAAACAGGAATCCTTCCTAACAGCTTATATGAAATCAATATTGCCCTAATACCAAAAATAGATAAGAATGTTACTTAAGAAAAAGAGGATATCATGTTAAGTGAAATAAGTAAAATAAATAAATAAATAAATAAATAAAAAGACAATACCAGGTGATTTCACTTACCTGCCATATATAAGTAACAGAATAAAGGAATTCATCAAAGGTGTGGGGTTGCGGAAGGGCAAAAGGGAAGTTACATTACCCCAGTCCGTATACCATAGAAAGGACAGGGGAGGAAAGAAATTGAGGGAAGATGTAAGAAGAGGCAAACAGGGCAGGGGACCACAGGCCCTTAACATATCAGCTGGCTGGAGGTGTGGTATTTGTGTATGTCTAAACCACAGAGACAATACCTCTTTGCCAAAGGAGGAAGGCTTGGGGGATAAGCATGGAACATGGGGACATTGGTGGAGGGAAGGTCAAACTTGTGGTGGAATTGGATTTAGAACACTGCATGCCTGAAATTCCACTATGAACAACTTCATAAATCACATATCTGAAATTCTGAAAGATAAAAAAAAATTTTAAGGAACAGACGTGAAAAAAAAGAAAATATTTGGCATTTTCCACACTCATTCAAGCATGCATCAACTCACAGTCTCTTTCCTACTGATCGCGTTTATGGGTTTGTCTTTAGTATCCACATGGTTCTCAGTCTCGTCTCAGAAAGGACCAGGTAGGTGTTGTGCACATTAGGTTATTCAACGTTACTTGGGTTTGTTTGTTTTCCTACAAATACACAACATCTACAATATTTCCCCAAGCTTTACAAACAAGGAGTGTTGACAGACTTTTCTGATTATTTTCAGGATTGCTCTATGTATATTCAACTTGATTTTTAAACTTAAAGAGAATTAAACTACACAAACTATTTTCCAAAAGACAAATAAAACTGCAGACCGATATTACTATTTCTCAAAAAAATTATGATCCATGTATCTCTGAACATAAAATCTAATTCATTTTAAATTCATTTTATTTACCATATATTATAGATGAGATAAGGTTACATCAAGTTAACATTGTATTTATATAAAATATGTCTATTTTATCTTTATTACTGGGCTGGAGCGATAGCACAGAGGGTAGGGCATTTGCCTTGCAAGCCCTACCAACATGGCCGACCCGAGTTCAATTCCTTCTCTCTTCTCGGAGAGCCCGGCAAGCTACCAAGAGTATCTTGTTCGCACAGCAAAGCCTGGCAAACTACCCATGACGTATTCGAGATGTCAAACACAGCAACAAATGTCACAATGGAGACGTTACTGGGCCCACTCGAGCAAATCGATGAACAACGGGAGGACAGTGACAGTATCTCTGGGAAACTTCCTAGGGAATACTGAGCATTCAATTAGCTTCACCATTTAATGATTAAGATCCACAACCATGAAAACCTTCATACAAGCTCATGATAACATTTGTACTTTGAAATTTTCCAAAAATATGATCTTTTCTCAAATATTTAGCACAGCAGCGTTACTGCTAGGCTCCAAAAATTTATAAAGAGTGCCATGTGATACTGATGCTGCCAGTACAAAGACCAGATTTTGAGAACCATTAATCTATCTCTGGCTTTCTAACAACCGGCACTATTTAGGACTCACTAAATGAGGTTCAGTGATATTTAAAATTAGCTCCCACTGGCAAAAGTTCTAAAGCATTTGATATAGGGATTCTTGTGTCTTCTCTCTCTGTTCAGTGACAGAAGAGCTTTCAGAAAGTTCTCGTAATTCAAAATTTATAATATAAGTCACAAGCTTTTTTCTCAACAAACACAAGGATATTCACCCTTCCTATCTCTTCCCCAAAACACGATGGACTCTAACTAACCCTAAGCTCCCATTTTTAACCCTGCACCATCTCTGTGTTTGTCATAAGAAATTAGATTTCCTATAGCAGGAAATCTGTACAAAAGACAAGATACTCTTCTATTCCTCTCTTAGGGAACTACATACACTTCCTTAAGCTGGAAATCCATATAGGCTCTCTCTATTAAGTAATTTATTTGGTGATTGTTAATGGTTTACACATGTGCGTATGAACTAGGGCTTAATTAGGTAAAAGTAAATTCAGATTCTGGAGAAATATCTGAAGCATTCAGATCTTGATATTTACACATTAAGTGTTTTGAGGGAACAAATAGTAATATTTCTCCATCAAAAGATATAGATTTCACATACTACAAACTGGTGCAGACTTCTAAGTGGCATTCAAATCCATCTCATCAAGGTTTAAAGTACACTCCCAGAATCTGATTCTACATGGTGAATGGAATATATATTCAATTCATGCTTCCCAAGAAAAGACATTTCAACAAATTTTCCCTCCCAAGCAGATAATTCAACAAATTCCTGTGTTGAAAAACAACTGGTAGCAGAATTTTTAAAATACATTTTATTTAGCTTAAATATCTTTTAAAAATCTTTAGAAGCTTTATTATTTTTTAAGTCTGCACATAGTTAATTTGATGACTACAATAAGTTAGGAAGTTTTAATGGTAATATTACACTCTTTTCCTTTGAGACTTTGATATATGCTTAAGAAAGAAGTATAAAACGAAAAAATAATACAGAATACCACCAAAATGGAAAAAATTTTAGAGTACTTTTAAAGTATTGGCTGGAAGCTAGTTAAATTTTGCAAGTACTCATAGAATTAATAATTTGCCATAAAAATTAAGGCCTTCTTAAAATACATTGTAAAAGATGATTAAAGACAACATAGTATACAACACTATACCCTTGTGGTTTTCAAAATCTGGAGCTAAATGGACTCTAAATTATATAGAGATCAAAAATGATTTGTTATAAACAACAAAGATCTTGGGGTATCCATCTGCTCCAACAGGACCACCAGGGACTCTCAGACTCCCCCAATTACTGAGCACTTGCAGACTAAGCCCATCAATACTTCAAGGTCAGCTCTCTGCTCCTTTCATGGGGCAGAAGCCCAATGAGGCTCTCTGGAAAGCTGCAGCCACAACCATTCCTCGGACACGTGATGAAGGCTGGAGTGAAAGATGTGGCTGCACCGAACAGCTAGTCACCATGATAGATTTTAAGCCCAGCAAAGCAAAAGTTGTTGGCCATTAATGACACCTTCATCAACCACAACTACAGGGTCTGCAAGGCCCATTATAATTTCACCCCTGGCAAGTTCAATAGCACAGTCAAAGCTGAGAACAGGAGCTGTCATCAACAGAAAGCCTGTACCCATCATCAGAATATGAGATCCCACCTATGCCCAATGAGGTGATGCTGGTGCTAGACATGTTGTAGAGTCTACTGAGGTTTTCACTTCTCTGGAGAAGGTTGGCACTCACTTCAAGAGTGAAGTATAAAGGGCCATCATCTCTTCCCATTCTGCTGATGGTGCTGTGTTGTGAGCTACCACAAGAAGTATGAGAGCTCATTCAAGGTTTCCATCAATGCCCCAAGAAGTCAGTGTTTCCAGAACAAAAACTTCATTGACAGCACTAGAGGAAGAGAGAGGCCCCATAGCTGCTGCTGAGTCCTCACCCATTCACACAATACACTGAGAACCTCCAGACTCCAGTTTCCATCCCAGCCACCCTGAAGGAGGGGAGGGGCTTAGGGAAACCTACTTTGTGATACATCATCAATAAAGTACCACTGTGCCTCAACAAGAAATGTTCAGACTTCTATCTAACGCCATGCACAAAAATCAGATCAAAATGGATCAAAGGTGCTCACTTTGGCAGCACACATACTAAAATTGGAATGATACAGAGAAGATCAGCATGGCCTGTGCATAAGGATGACATGCATCAGAGATACAGCACTGAGTCCCGGAAGACACCACAGCGCCGGAGATCTCTCCATGCCCCATATGGGCCAATTTCACCAGGGCACCTCAGATGGAGCAGGTGCAGTCTCCCGGCCTACTCCAGATGGAATCCCAGTGATCAAGAGCTTCCACAAGCAAGGCCCTTGGTATGCGGGTTCCAGAACTAAATCTCCAGGCCGCATGGTAGCAGAGGACCCGGACTGTCCCTCCCTGGGTCCCCACCCACCCAGCAGACTGGCTGTCGTGCCCACAATTTGCCGTTGGGTGCCATTTTAGCGCACTAACAGCCCTGGTTCAGAGACTCCCAATTGAATCCCTAAATGGATTAGTGCCATACAGGGATGCCTCTGGAACCCAACCATTTACGATCTAGAAATTTACATTTACAATCACAGCCTTGCAAGCCCTCATGATATTCAAAATGAGCAATGGAAAATAAATTACCCTGGCAGGTAGGCGTGAATAGTGGTGGGAAAATTCGAGCAAAATGTAATGCCCAAAATTAGAGACAGAATATTGGGGAAACTGCCTGCCACAGAGGCAGGGTGAGGATTGGGAAGTAGGCGGGGGGCAGGGGAGGGATACTGGGGACATTGGTGGTGAAAAATGTGCACTGGTGGAGGGATGGGTGTTCGATCATTGTATGGCTGAATCTCAAACATTAAAGCTTTGTAACTTTATCTCACAGTGATACAATAAAATTTAAAAAAAAAAAAGTAATGTGGAGTTCATGCCCAATTCAATCAGCTTAATCAATGGCTGAACAAAGAGCAGTACTCCTACATTATTAAAAAATAATAATAATAAACCAACAAAATAGATCAAAGACCTCAATATCACACCTGAATCTATAAGGTACGTACATGTTACAAAATGTAGGCAAAACCCTCCATGACACTGAAACTAAAGGCATCTTCAAAGATCACTGACCAAGCAATTGGAAGCAAAAATAAACAAATGGGACTACGTGAAACTAAGAAGCTTCTGCACCTCAAAAGACAATGGTTTCGCCCTCTCCTCTCTGGAAAGAAAGATGGCGGCCACATGGGAGCCTTGTGGACAGCAGGTATGAGCCGGGAGTGTGGGGGCGACTAAAACCTCATGGGAAGGGGGGCATTTCGGTCCGCCCTTCACGCCCTACCGAGGCCACCAGTTGCCCCCACGAGCGGCTCTCCAGCACGGCCACAGCCCCAGAAGCACAATGACCTAATGCAGAACCCAGCAGCTTGGAGCAGAAAAGTGAAAGGACTATGCGTTAATCCAGGCAATCATTTCTGCCCAGAGGGGAAAGGGTGTTGCTCCCTTCCGCCCTCCTCCCTCTGGAAAGAAAGATGGCGGCCACATGGGAGCCTTGTGGACAGCAGGTATGAGCCGGGGGTGTGGGGGCGACTAAAACCTCATGGGAAGGGGGGCGTTCCGGTCCGTCCTTCACGCCCTACCGAGGTCACCAGTCGCCCCCCACGAGCGGCTCTCCAGCACGGCCACGGCCCCAGAAGCACAAGGACTTAATGCAGAACCCAGCAGCTTGGAGCAGAAAAGTGAACGGACGCTGCATTGATCCAGGCCATCAAGTCTGCCGGAGGGGAAAGGGTGTTGCCCCATTCGCCCTCTCCTCTCTGGAAAGAAAGATGGCGGCCACATGGGAGCCTTGTGGACAGCAGGTATGAGCCGGGAGTGTGGGGGCGACTAAAACCTCATGGGAAGGGGGGCGTTTCGGTCCGCCCTTCACGCCCTACCGAGGCCACCGGTTGCCCCCCGCGAGCGGCTCTCCAGCACGGCCAGGACTCCAGAACACAGAAACCAATTTCTTAACTATCTGACTTTCAGTAGAAATACTTCCAGGGTCAATAGGTAAAAGAGCAGAAATCCAAAACCAACATTTAATTCTTGAACCCAGCCGTAGAAAGCAAATCACTTCACAATGCTTTTTCAGCATGTCTGATTTGGGGGGGGGGGGGGGTAAACTCTAAATAATAGTGGTGAATCTTTTATTGAAACAATGAATCTAATCAAAGCAGATAGAGTGTTAACTAGAATTCATCTGCTTCACAGGGACGGGGAGGGGTGGGGGGTGGGGTTTTATTGGGGTTCTTCATGGTAAAAAATAAGTATTGGTAAAGGGAAATGTGTTTGATATTTGCATGACTGAGACATAAACCTGAAAGCTTTGTAACCTTTCCCACAGTGATTCAATAAATAAAAAAAAAAAATTAAAAAAAAAAATTAAAAAAAAAAAAAAGACAATGGTGATCAAGATATAAAGACAGCCTGTGGAATGGGAAAAATTATTCACCCAATTCCCATTTATAAAGTGTTAATATCAAAGATATATAAGGCATAGTGGGCACTTGTAGAACTTTACAAGAAAAAAAAATCCAACCACATCAAAAAATGGGAAGAAGAAATGAACAGAAACTTACTCAAAGAAGAAATTCAAATCGCCAAAAGGCATATGAAAACAATGCTTTATGTCACTAATCATCAGGAAGACGCAAAACAAAACAATATCATCTTATGCCACAGAGACTGGCATACCTCCAAAAGAGAAAACAACCAGTGCCGGAGCAGATGCAGGGAGAAAGGGACTCTCATTCATTGTTGGTGGGAACGCCAACTGGTCCAGCCTCTTTGGAAAACAATATGGACATTCCTCAAAAAACTAGAAACTGAGCTCCTCTTTGACCCAGCAATACCACTTCTGGGAATACACCCTCAGGGCCCAAAAACACACAGCAGAAAAGCTATCTGCACTTCTATGTTCATTGCAGCACTATTCACAATAGCCAGAATCTGAAAACAACCCGAGTGCCTGAGAACAGACTACTGGTTAGAAAAACTATGGTGTACCTACAAAATGGAATACAGCTATAAGGAATGAAGTCATGAAATCTGCTTATAAATGAATGGACACTGAGCGTATCATTCTGAGTAATATGAGTCAGAAGAAGAGGAACAGATACAGAATGACGGCATTCATTTGTGGGATATTTAAAAAAAAAAAAAAAAAGCAAGAGACTGATGTCCAAGGCCAGGAAAATCAGGGGCAAGGAGGGCATGTCAATAGTGAGAAGCTTGCCACAAGCATGTCGGGGGTAGGAGTGGGGCCAGAGGGCAATTAAGATAGAGAATAGGATAGGAGCCATTATGACAATAATAGAAATGATCACTCTGTACAAGAACTGAGTGTTGAAAGTAGATAAAGGGATATACATGATAACCTTTCAGTATCTGTATTGTAAACCATAATGCCCAAAAGGAAAGGAGGAGGCAGAGAAAGAGAGAGCTGGGGGTGGGGGAGGGGACACTGGTGTTGAGAAATGTACATTGGTGGAGGGATGGGTGTTGGGACCTTATATGACTGAAACCCAATCATGAACAACTTTATAAAAACACTGTCAAAAGGACATGTGCACACCATTATTCATTGCTACTGTACTCAGTATAATAGCTAAGATATGGAATCAACCTAAGTGTCCAATAAGAGATGAATGCATTATAAAGATGTGGTATATATACACACAACAGAATACTATGCAGCTGCAAGGAATAATGAAATAATGCTTTTGCTGCAATTTGGTTAGAACTGCAAGATATCATGTTGAGTGAAGTAAGCCAGAAGAAGAGATTAACATAGGATGATCTCACTTATCTGTGAAATATAGAATAATGGATGAGGAAATATATTGTAGTAAAAGGAGAATGCTTAGATCTTCCGTGACCCCAATGTTTAGAGAGGAGACTGACAGAAGAGGAAAGAAAACAAGGGGGGGGTTATTGAGTTATTTCAGTATCAATATTGCAAACCATAAAAAAAGGAGAAGAGGAAGAGGAGGAGGAGGAGGAGAAGGAGGAGGTGAAGGAGGCTGGAGTGATAGTACAGCAGGTAGGGTGTTTGCCTTGCACACAGCTGACGCGGGTTAAATTCCCAGCATCCCATGTGGTCCCCTGGAACACCACCAGGAGTAATTCCTGAGTGCAGAGCCAGGAGTAACCCCTGAGTATCACCAGGTGTGACCCAAAAAGAAAAAAAAAAGAAGAGGAGGAGGAGGAGGAGGAAGAGGAGGAGGAGAGGAGGGGGAGGGGGAGGGGAGGGGGCAGTAGGGAGTGGGGGGTGATGGGAGGGAACCTGGCAGTAATACAAAGCATAGGATTTCAAAATCAGACTGAGCACATTAAATAAGGATCCCACCCATCAAAAAGCTACCAAAAATACTACCAAATTTTTTAAAAAACTAAAAAAAGAAGATAAACCCTGATTACTTGAAACCCTACAAGAGGGATGTGAATGCTAAGGGTCATTCATATGAGAAAAGAGCTAATACTCTCAATGGAATGAGGAAATAAAGATCTAGAAAGAGTTCTGCTCTCATCTCAGAAGTTCTTAGGCTATCAATGGGTGCCTGACTTGTAACTTGTAACTTGTTCTATAACAACAGTCTATCTTCTCTTCCCAAAATTACTAACAGTGCCAACAATCCTGTCTTCAATACTGATATCTTCAGTATTTGGAATAGTTCCAACCTGAAACATTTCCTTTCCATAACCTAATCTCAGAATGCAACTCCCTTTCTCCCTTTTCTTCCTCTGTGCCTTGCCAATAGTTTCTGGCATTTACGTTCTTCATCTCTCTGCTCCTCTGACTCAGGGCAGTGGTCCAAACCAGCGATGATTCTGCTCTGTCCAGGGTGGCAGTAAGTCTGGAGACATTTCTGATGGTCATTACAGGAGAAGGCAGCTATTGGGAGTGCCTGGGGACCCTGGGCTGTAGCTGGAAGGACCTGCAGCCCAGGGTCCCCGGGCACTGCCAACTACAGCCCAGGGTCCCCGGCGCACTGCCACCTGGATCCCGGGGTGCCCAGACAGTGCCACCTGGCCCTGGTGGCCGCCAAGACCAAACCGTCAGGCCTGCAGGGCCGGCTGGGCCCAGCCTGTCCCCGAGCAGGGACGTCGGGCCGTGCCAGCATATCGGCCTGCAGGTCCTGGGCACCGGGCTCGGGGAGGCTGCCTGACCCTCAGTATCGGGGGCGTCCACACAGCCCGGGCCCGCGGGTCTCGGAGGAAAGAGGACAGACGCCCAGTCGGGGGCGGGACGCTGCTGGAAAGTCGCGGTCCCCCGGGAGGTCGCGGGCCCTCAGGAGGCCGATCCCGCGAGCGCACGGCGGCCCCAGCCGGTCCCCGCCGCTGGCCTGGCCCCGGGTCGCTCCGAGTCACCTGTCCCCGCCGCGAGTCTGTCCCCCGTGTCCCTCCAGACTCATCTGTCCCCACCGCCGACCTGTCCCCCGCGCCCAGGGTCGCTCCCGAGTTACCTGTCCCTGACGCCGGCCTGTCCCCCGGGTCGCTCCGAGTCACCTGTCCCCGCCGCCGCGTCCCCGGGTCGCTCCGAATTCCTGTCCCCTCCCGGGCTGCCGTTCCACTTCCGCACGCGCGGGTTACCCGGGAGACCCGGGCACGCGCCCGTGACGTCATCTGCGCGCGCCGGCGCCCGCGTCCGCGCCGCCTCCTCCCACCTCCGGCTGGGGGGGGGGGGGGCGCGGAGGGCGGTGTGCGCAGGCGCAGAGGATCCGCGGGTGTGGGATTCCCAATTGAAGATTTGTGGGCCCTGAAGAAAACGTATTACTGAAATACAAAAGTGCACCTTTTCTTTCTCCTTTACTCTGCCTCTACGTGTGATCACGTGATTGTTATTTTTTCCCTCAAGCACTGTTACAGAACCTGCAGCAGTGACTGGCTCTACCCTCATGGAAGTTTCTTTCTAGTTGAGAAAGCAAACATTGAAAAACTCGACAAATAAATGTTCACAGTAACTTTCTCTGGAGCTAAAGCGGTACCCTGGCAGGAGGGTACTGCTTTAGTTTGAGACATGAAACTAAAGCTTCATCTGAAGCTTCTCTTTAAGCTAAGGGGGGATAGGGGGTGAAGGAAGTCAGCTTAGAGAGAAATCTGGAGGAAAAGCAACCAAGAGAAAGAAGGATCTGTTCCGAAGTAGGCAGTTAGACAGGAGAGGGCCCCTATGGCATGGAATTCCTAGGAAGTAATAAAAAAATAGGACCAGGAATACAAACGCAGGAACCAAAGACCCTCTCCTCTGTAACCTGTTTACGATCTAGAAATTTATATTTACAATTGCAGCCGTGTGAGCTCTCATGATATTCAAAATGAGCAATGGAAAATAAATTATCAAGCATCTGTCCCTGGCAGGTAGGCTTGAATGATGTTGGTGATGTCGGAGGGCCCCCATGGGTGACTTATGTGAAGTGGGGAGGAGAAAGACGGTCACTTTCTCCCCAACCACCTCTGTCACCCGGGACCCCGGGTTACTGGGTTCTTGTCTCGCTCATAGAAAGGAATTTCAGGAGTAGACAAGCAGTGAAGTAGAACAGATTTTATTTGGAGGTATTGAAGGAGAGAAGAACGAGGTAGTGGGAGTAAGTGGAGAGAATGAAAGAGTGTATAGCAAGGCTGGAGCAATAGCACAGAGGGTAGGGCGTTTCCCTTGCACGCGACCAACCTGGGTTCGATTCTCAGCATCCCATGTGGTCCCCTGAGCACTGGGGTAATTCCTGAGTGCAGAGCCAGGAGAAACCCCTGTGCATCGCCAGGTGTGACCCAAAAAGCAAAAGAAAAAAAAAAGAAAAGAAAGAGTGTATCGCACTCAAGAGAGAATGCAGGTTCCTCCAAGAATGGAGAGAGCCCCTACACAAATTCTAGCATGAGACACGAAAGCATGAAAGTACACATCTCAAGAGGGGAGATGCGGGTGACACATGTACCCGGGCACCACTGTGCTCCGCCACGTGGGCACAAGCAGCACATGGGCTCAGGCAACATATGCACACCCTTCCTTTGTTCAAGGTGGCCTTTATAGGGTTTCTCCAGCCTGTCCCCACGTGAAGCTTCTTCCAAGGTAAAAGTCCATTGCAAAGGAGGTTACCAGGGGGATTGGGAAAGGTGATGGTCTTCTTTGGGCTGAATCACTAAAGTTAATCAGATTAAGGGAGAGGTCCTAGGGTTTGAGGAACTTCATGGGGAGAGGTCCAAGTTCCTCAGGGACTGCTGAAGGTCTTATCAGGTCTGTTTTCTGTATCCACAAGGTGGATCAGTCCTAGAATTCTTCTTCCATGAAACTTTGTTAATCCAAATTTCATTGCAAAGGGCCTTTCCCCATCTACCTGTCTACCTCAGTGGGAAATTTTGAGCAAATATAATGCCCCAAATTAGAGAGAAAGTACTGGGCAAATTGTCTGCCATAGTGCCAGGGTGAGGAATGGGATGTGGGTGGTGGAAAATATGCACTGGTGGAGGAATGGGTGTTCCATCATTGTATGGCTGAATCTCAACCATGAAAGCTTTGTAACTCTATCTCACGGTGATGCAATTAAAAAAAAAAAGTAATGTGGAGTTCATGCCAAATTCAATCACCTTAGCAATGGCTGAACAAATAGCAGTACTCCTACATTATTTAAAAAAAAAAAAAAAGACCCTCTCCTGGTGCCAGCAACAGACCAGAGAAAGCTGAAACTTTCCCCCTTCTCTCTCCCCACCCCACCCCACCCCAAACCCCCATGCCAAGAGAAGCTCCAGCAGAAACAAAAGGCCAGGAAAGGAATTTCAAAGGTCATTGATCACTCCCAACTCTGCCCCTTGGCAACTATCCTAGCAACAGACTTTTACCTAGGTAAACCCACCCTACCCCTCACCACCCATGGGGCAGGTTGGGGAAAACCCTACAAAAGCCACAATCACGATCACAATCATCCTGCTGTTCATCGATTGACTCGAGCAGGTGCCAGTAATGTCTCTTTTGTCCTACTCCCAAAATTTTAAAAAGTGCCATATTCAAGGCTCTTTCAGGGTTAGGAGAATGAGACCCATCATTGTTACTGGTATTTGGCATATTAGGTATGCCATGGGGAGTTTGCCAGACTCTGCTGTTTGGGCAGGTTACATTCGGTAGCCTGCCAGGTTGTCCAAAGTAAGAATGAGATAATAAGATGTCACGAGGCCGCGAATGCGGCCGCATGCTTCCGGGAGCTGGGTTTTATAAAACTCTGGGGTCTTGGCCGTTAATGGGATTACCTGGCACTGGGGGCAGTTGGTGGGTGTGATCCCTGCCTACTGGAAGATGGAGGATCTGGGTGGAGGATGCTCATCCCCGATCCGAGCAGGCTTGGAGATCTCAGTCCTGGGACCCACATGTCTGTGTTCCTTTGCTGGTTCCTTCATGCGTGTGGAGAGTGGTCTCAGCATGGTTGTGGCTGTTTCTGGAGGTCTTCAGCTGCTGGGGCTCTGCTCGGGGTGGGGAGGGAAACTCAACCCGCCCCCCTCCAAGACGCCCTGGCGAGGACAGCCAGGCGCGGGTGCAGGAGACTCTATAAAAGCCACCTGGAACAAAGGAAGGATGCGTATATGCTGCCTGGAGCCCATGTTTCGCCCGCATATCCCCTCTGAGACATCTCTATGTTCGTGTGTCTAAATGGGTCCTTTCATTCATCTCCTGGAAGGTACATTGAAGTCCTAAGAATGGAGATGAGAGTTTCTAAGAAGGGGAATGTTAGAAAGGGAAGACCAGGATTGCAATTGTGCAATTAGTAGTTTGCTGCCTTCTGGACATCAGATGCCTTTATGTGGCCATTTTCTTCAGGTCCCTTGAGTAAAGGAATAATTCACATGCTGGGCAAATAATTCATACCATCACTATGTAAATAAATTGATCAGGATGGCTAATAGTTAATAGATTCACCCTTTCCCTCCTGTATTCCAAGGCTCCATCTTGCTCTAAAGAATAATAAAATTCTGTTACTGAGTTGCCACCTGTGTGTAGAGGACTCTCTCCACCTTAGGAGAAGCCCATGTTCTCTCTTGAGTGCGTTACTTTTTCTCTCACTTTCTCTCTATCCTTCCCCTACCTAAAACCCTCCAAATAAAATTTGTTTTCACTTCACTACTTGTCTATTCTTGAAATTCTTTTCTGCGACATGAGACAAGAACCCCGAAATTCTGAGTAAGGCCTAGGACTAACTTTCTTTTCTTGCAAAGAGCAAATCCACGCTCCAAACTGAGTTTGTGGCTCCCTGAGAAATCAGGTGGTGGGGATTAACTCCTGTACCAAGACCAAGTGGCTGAAGACCAAGTGGATGTCAGGTGTGGCTTGACAGCCACCTGGTGGGACTGGGAGGGCTCTGGCCTGTGCCATGGAGGGGGTTATCACAGACTTCATCAATCTTAAACTTTCCAGCCAGTCCCAGGTGGCAGAGGTGGATCAGGAGAAAGTCACCGTCTCTCTCCTCCCCGCTACACATAAGCCATCCCTGGGAGCCCATGATTTCAAGGAGAAGGGACAGAATGTGGTGCCCTAGTTCTTTTAAGAGAGTAGATTATGCTGCCTTACACATGGTGGACTCATGTTTGATCCTCATTATCCCATAGGGTCCCCTAAGTATGGCCAGGAGTGATCTCTGAATGCAGAGCAAGAGCAACCTCTGAGCATTCTGGGTGTGGCCCCAAAAAAATTAAATTAAATTTTTAAGAGAAATAAAATAGGTTAGACACAGGGCCCCAGAGCATATGGCTCCATTTCCATCACCTTAAGGTTCCTGGAAAACCTCAAGAGCACTAGCTTAATCTCAGCATCCTAACCTCTCTCCTTCTCAGTGTTTGTCACATTTACCATTCACCTGCATCCTCATGAACCACTGCCTTTACTCAAGACTTCCTTACCCCTCTTTGGGCAAATCACTCTACTTCCCTGCACTTCAGCTTTTTCACCTATAAAATGACAAGATTGCACTAGATGATTCTTGAGTTCTGTCCCATTTGTGATATTTATTTTATTAAAACCCTCAACATAATGGAATAAAGAGTATAGCCACATTTGTAGATTCAACACGTGTATGATTCAAAACTATGCGTATGGAACATACACAATAGAATATGAGTTAGCTATAAGAAATAGATGAAAAGCAATTCTCTGTTACCTGGAATGAATCTGAAGAGTATCGTACTGAGTGTAGGAAGCTTACCAGGAGAGGCAGAGCTAGCGTGAGGGGAATGCTGAGACAATGGTGGAGGGATGCTGAAACTGAAAAAGTGAGTGGCATTGGATTGTGTTATGCATGAAACCCGACATTAACAGTATTGTAAATTACAGTACCTAAAATAAAATAAAGGAGGAAATAAAAATACATATACATTTGTATCTGCACTAAACACATGCAGATTTTTTCTTATCATTTTCCCCTAAACAATACTAACAATGTTGTATTTAAGATTAAAAGTAGATATTAAAGTATGTGGAAGGTCATGAGCTGGGGGATAAGGTTAGGGAAAGGATCACTAAGTCAATGATGATTGAAGAGATTGTTCAGGATTGGAGATGTGTGCTGAAAGTAGATAAAGGACTGCCCATGATGGCC